ATTTTTTCGCATCAAAACGACAAAACCGGTGTTAAATAGCCGATAAACACCTCTAAGACCGATATTATTTCGATTCTAACACGATAATGTAAGGATGATAACTAATGTTATTTTTTCAAGCGGAAATAACTTCCGGTTCAAACTTTGAAACTTTGAATTAGGATGACGTCATTACGCTGGTTACGGATTGGCGCCGTCCTGACAAAATATTTATTAACTAATATGGATCAAATATGTAGCGTTAGTGCATTTCAAGAGCTATTATTTCGGTATTGTATGAAAAGGAAACATTATAACAACTGAAAATATAAATAAAAATGCTTTTTATTGTTGCTTTAAAACGCTTTTTAAACTATATAATCGAGGGTGAAAACATAACAGCCGCACATACAATTAGTCCCTAACCAGTGTTTATTGGCAGTTTAACACCCGTTTTTTTTTTCAAAACTGTCATTGTTTCAATGTTATAAAACACCATTGCAATCTAACTTCATTTCTTGTTCACAGGGTGAAATATATTTCGATCTTACACTAAACTAAACAAATTTTCTTTATATTATGTGCAAAAGAAAATGCAAAGAAACGTTTTAAAAATACATTAAACCTAATACTGAATGAAAAGCGCGCCAAATAATAATACAACGTGACGTCATTTACGACGTCATGTCATTAAGTTGGTTCCCAGTACAGTGCACGCTGGTATTTCACTTCAGTGTTGTTATATTTTTCTGGTCCTTCGGGATCATTGATGCCAGCACTATTGAGTGTTGAGAATTGAGTACCGCTCAAGCCGGTGCTAGGGGGCGTGAGGGATGTTGCACTTATTCATTATCCTTCATGTACAGAGTACAGACTCAATCAAACCGAGTCTGCAATTCTTATGTAATTTTGTTGTGATTAATGCTTCCGAGGGATCACTTTGTTTCCAGATTTTTATACTTCACAACAGCAGGTGTCAAGTGCTGTGTGGCAGCTGTAAAAAGTTGCCCCGTATTTCACTTCAGTGTTGTTATATTTTTCTGATCCTTCGGGATCATTGATGCCAGCACTATTGAGTGTTGAGAATTAAGTACCGCTCAAGCCGGTGCTAGGGGGCGTGAGGGATGTTGCACTTATTCATTATCCCTCATGTACAGACTCAATCAAACCGAGTCTGCAATTCTTATGTAATTTTGTTGTGATTAATGCTTCCGAGGGATCACTTTGTTTCCAGATTTTTATACTCCACAACAGCAGGTGTCAAGTGCTGTGTGGCAGCTGTAAAAAGTTGCCCCGTACTTCACTTCAGTGTTGTTATATTTTTCTGGTCCTTCGGGATCATTGATGCCAGCACTATTGAGTGTCGCTCAAGCCGGTGCTAGGGGGGCGTGAGGGATGTTGCACTTATTCATAATCCCTCATGTACAGACTCAATCAAACCGAGTCTGCAATTCTTATGTAATTTTGTTGTGATTAATGCTTCCGAGGGATCACTTTGTTTCCAGATTTTTGAAACTAAGCTATATAGGTGCAGACACTTAGACTATGTCACCCGATCAGATCTTGGGGAAACCTTTGTAAAATTGATATCACATTTTTACCCAGTTCAGATAAAGCTTAGAATGTTTGTCTTCACAAACTCTAAATACAGGCATACACCCATGCCTCAGGTGAGCGACCAATGGCCCTCTTGTTTTAGTTTGTTGTGTTATATTTTATTGTTATATATGAAAATAAAGATTAAGACATTCGCAAACGTCTGTACAGGCCTGGATATTGGCACCTGTAAGGACATTGAAATTTGAGGGTTGTCCAGTTTTGATGGTCCCCGACCAGTAAAATACAAATGAATTTTAAGTGGACTTTTATAAAGTTCACAATTTTGTCCGTTTTGTACGGCATCTGGCCCTCTAGGATGCCAAACAGTCTTAACGGTATGATACACTGACTCTATTTAAAAATCGTTTTAATCTCAATTTTTTTTCATACAATATGGCAGAAGGATGAAAGGGATGTCAAAGCTCTGTCGTTGTGGAGCGCCGGGTGCATTTCCAAACAAGAGTTCTTGTTTAACAGACCCTTTTAAGATAATTGTCGGATTAAACATGATTATTTGTTGTAGATATAGCATGCATGTACACATATGTTTGTTTATTTGAATGTTCCTGTACTGTTCAATTTCAAGGCAATGAACTATCAATAAATAATATGTTTTACAAGGAAAATGGTACTTGGTTTATTGTTGTTTACAAATTTGATAATTTCTATACATCTCCGATGTTGTTTTTCGCTCTAGTAGACTGACGCTGGTTCAATAACACGTGCTGTGTCACTCAATATACACTTACAGGAACTCCAATTTAATCAATTCCCCAATACATGGACTGAAAAGTAGATAATCAAAACAAATTGTACAATCAATTTCAAAGTTTTCATCTATAAAAGTATTTCGACCAAGTGTACATATATGGGAAAAGAAAACAAAATACTATTAAAACCATTTAAACAAAGTTTTTATTTAATCAAACATGCATAATCTTATACCGTAATGAATTTGTTCTACGGTTTCTATTATTTTGATTTCATCATTGTCATTACTTTGTTGCTCCTGCTCCTCGTCTGCAAACATACAGTTTTGGGCGCAACTTTGCTCAATGTGATCAGAGCGAATATTTTCTATATCAAATCTTTTTGGTTCTCTGACTTCCTTTCTGTCTCTAGTACCGTTTTTGTCTGAACCGAAACTGCCACACTTGTCAGGATTACTTACCATTTCAGGCATAGATGTTGCTCTTGAGGTTTCAATATTTTGTTTCTTCTGTGAAATGCCGTTAATCTGTTTTAAATTTTTGAACATATCTGTATGTAGTTTCGAAAGAAATGCCTTGATATCGTTGTTCGGATTCCTATTTTTTAACCTTTGGTGTACATGATATACACCAAAGGTCCTAGCCTTGCCAACATCATTTGGAAGATTCAGTTCCTTGGAAACACCCTGTAGTATATTTCTGGTTATCTTTTCTGTTTTCAATGGTGTAACTGGCAACTTGCTTATATCAGGCTTATAACATGCACTCTGTTTATTCATTAATATGTTGTTACTTTGCAAACAATTCTCCCTATCTGAAGGCTTTTGGTTTTTTCGCAACGTGTTTTTCCTCCCGAATTCAAAGGACACCATTTCTCTCCCAACGTGCGTATATACTATATCTCTGACGGTAGAAAGATGTGACTTATTCTGTACTAGAGAAAGAGCAGCCTTAGACTTATTACAAGTATCATAAAAACTTCGTGACGTTTCATTAGCCAATGGCGCATTCCTGTTGAATTTAAAGTGGGGTATTTCTAACTTCAAGACGCCATACATATTCAAGTAATTGCACATGACCTCAATTGTTATTTCTGTGTCATTTCCTTTGTTGTTCCGCAATATACATTGCAGTCTACTCGTTACGATTCTGTCCTTTTTACCGTCATCTACCAATAAAACATCACTGACATCATCAGCTAACTTAAATACATTTAGCATAATTGCCAATTAGCTCGTTTGTCTTGTGGATTTGCCATGAGAGGCAGACGTTCAATGGTATTTGTTTCATTTAATCCCGGCTTGAACATGTATATGTCCAAACTATATCTTTGGCTAATGTCATTTACAACTTTACATTTGTTGAACAATTCACATAACTGAGCTAAAATAGATAAAAACAGAATCCCTAAAGAAAGCCCAACACGGCAAAATTGAAAATGTTGCAGGCTCGGTTTGATTGAGCCTGTTCATGGACGGTACTGGAAAGTGCAAGTTACCGTCCACGCCCCCTAGCACCGGCTTAAGCAGAATTCAACATTTAAACATGAAATAGTAAAATTTAGAAACATCCGCATATGTGTTCATATGGCGGTTATCATGGAACCTTCAATGTGACACTTCCGTGTCATTCCATGAAAAGCGGCGTATGGTCCCCAAGTAATAAAAAGCGTGTGCCCTAAACGAGAAAACAATGGGCGGAACTAAATAAAATGGAATTTTGAAAGGGGATCAGAGGTTATGAAGCCTGCGTATCACAGATAAGACGTCAAAAGACAAATTTAAAAAGCAGGCAACATAACCTAAGGGTGATTCAACATTATTCAAGTAGGAATATTGGAACCACCCAACTAGAAATTGCCGAAAAATTGAAACTAAAAATACCAGAAGCACAACAATAATGTCGTGCTGAACGATCTTCAAGGATCGAAAATATAACATCATTGATTAAATGTACGGGGAGACTTTTTACAGCCGCCACTCGGCACAAATAACACGGATGTGATCATAAAATAGATAAAACAGAATCCCTAAAGAAAGCCCAACACGGCAAAAATTGAAAATGTTGCAGGCTCGGTTTGATTGAGCCTGTTCATGGACGGTACTGGAAAGTGCAAGTTACCGTCCACGCCCCCTAGCACCGGCTTAAGCAGAATTCAAACATTTAAACATGAAATAGTAAAATTTAGAAACATCCGCAGATGTGTTCATACGGCGGTTATCATGGAACCTTCAATGTGACACTTCCGTGTCATTCCATGAAAAGCGGCGTATGGTCCCAAGTAATAAAAAGCGTGTGCCCTAAACGAGAAAACAATGGGCGGAACTAAATAAAATGGAATTTTGAAAAGGGATCACAGAGGTTATGAAGCCTGCGTATCACAGATAAGACGTCAAAAGACAAATTTAAAAAGCAGGCAACATATCCTAAGGGTGAATCTTCTCTAAAGCATTGTGCAAAAAGTTCTTTTTTTTTCCAGCAATTAAAACGGATTTTTTTTTCTTCCAATTCTGTAAATGTCATTAATCTTTTTCTGGGGGAATATTTTTTTGCTTTTTTCCCAAACTGGTGCAAAGGTTTTTTGTCATACAAGAAATAAAGGTGGTCCCCTTTCAACCAAATTTTTAAGTAAAAATTTTCCTTAAATTTAAAGGATTTACAAGAACACGAGTGATTAAGAACTAAATATTGTTAATTGTCCGGTGAGTATACTGTATTTTTTTATTTGTTTCAGCAATGTGATTAAATTGTATAACCTTCATGTTTCGTAACTAGAATTGATATAAGATAGAAATATGAAAATATTTAAAGCTTACACTTATATACAATTCCCATCTGCAGCATTTGTCTTAGTAAATTCTGTGTCATCCACCTTTGGATCATAAGCCTCTTTTTCTACTTTGCTTGTAGCTGCCACTTCTTCGTGTCCTTTGTTTGTCTTCTCAAGTTGTACCTTACTTATCATGTTTTCATTATTCTTCTCAGCTTCATCTGAAGTATGGTGTTGTTTAACATGTGTATTTTCACAGTGTTGGTGGCAATTTTCCTCTTTAGTGACGTCTTTGTCGTGCTCATTATTTAAATAAACACTGGGACTTTCATCTGACCTCTTTGACTTTTTCTTCCGCTTCCTTTGTCTCTTCAGTTTGTTTAAACCATTCTCACTTGTTTCTTCAGCAGCATTGACTTTTGACTCTAGTGCATTTTGAGATTGATTCTGTCGTTCTTTCAGTTTTTCTTTAAGCCTATATATATATAATGATTTTAAAAGATATTTTATACTTTTTTGCGGGGTATGGGTTCCAATTTGAAAAAAATTTTAATGATGAAATGAAAAAAATATTTCAAAAATTTTTGCGGAGCCAGAGTATTGGAAATTTCTTTGCACAAGGGTGAAATGTCATGTCTTATAATAGAAAAACCCCTGAATCTTGCCCCCCCCCCCCCCCCCCCCCCCCCCCCCCACCACCAAAAAAGCTTGAAAGTCACCGTATGGATTAAACAGTGTCGGTGAGACTTAAAATCCAACCCAAATAAAAAATCATGAGAGGCACAATCTATTTACATATTTTAGAGCAGGCTTGATTACAATCTATTGAAGTCGTTCATGTTATTCAACTGTATGAAATTACCTGTCTCTTGTCGACATTTTTCTGATATCTCTAAGCGAAGCTAAATCGCCATCAATTAATCTCTTCATCTTCTTTGGAATCGGTCTGAAAAAAATCATAAAAACTTTCGCGTGAATTTCTTGCGACAACACTGACATATAAGTGTCATTGTGTGTTTGTTTTTAAAGCCGCACTCCTCCAGATGAGCCAAAATATTTCAAGAAAATCAATATTGAGAAAAAGTTTAAGAAAAGTAAAAACCTTCCCTATCCAAGTTATATTTTTCATGTCATTTGCGGTTTAAGAATGACTTTGCAGTATTTTATCACCATATTTCTACTGCGTTACTAGCGCAGTAAGGGCTATTTTTGCATATGTTGACGATGATTTTCTTTGATTGTAAGTGCCGATTGCAATATGTAAATAACTTTATTTGTTCACCTCACAATATATTACTTTTAAATACATTTCCAAAATTTTCATGAATATTAACATGAATCTGGAGGCGTGCTGCTTTAAAGATCCTGTATGTTGTTATTCAGGATATAACAACACTTAAGTGAAATTTTATAAATTATATAATAAATTTCCCCTAAAAAAATTTTTA